AAATTTAAAAAAGAAAGTACACTTAGGTCTCTTTTTATGCGGATTTGAATTTATGAGGTTTTTCAAACCATTGTTTCGCAGTAGCGATTTTGCTTTTTTGAGAGTTTTTATTACTTTTTTCAGTTTGTAAAAGACAATGCTTCTGATAAATAATTTGTCTTTGTATTCTTACACAATAATAATAATAGATTGGCGCTTACACATAAGTGGAACTTCTCCTCCAATTTGTGGTGTGCGCCTTGATGTTGTCACACAAAGGGGAGGGACTTACACTTTTACGCCGACTCCGAACGTCGATTGTATTTTTACGAGTAGCTGTTTTTCATGACAGAAATACACTCGGAGGTTTGCCATTGCCTGCTGAGTGGCGACCGCCTTTAAGAAAAAACCTTTCTTTCTAAATTTTTTTTCTTTATGTATTCTTACATAATTCATGTATTTATTGTGGTATTTTTATTTTTATTTTTATTTTTATTNAAGACAAATTAGTTATCTTTATGGTGGCGTCATTAGTTTTTTTATCGGTTATACCTACAGTTCGTAAGATATTAATATTTAAAAAATTTAAAAACTGAACTTTAACCTTCTAGAACGTATTGATTTTTTTACTTGCGCCAAATAATTTTGGCATGGTTGAAATGAGTTCTATTTTTCTGCAGTTTTCCTTTTTGCATAGCTGAACGGTCGGTTCCAGGAAATGATGAACAACTTAAATCAAAAATGTACATATTTATGTATTGTTTAGTATTTCCATTAAAACACAAATATATTGCAAATTCGCATATAATAAATAATACACATTTTACTTCTAATTGTATACTTTGGGTACTTTTTGTAGTACCTTTGGTACTTTTTCGCAAAAGGCGATCACATTATTCCCCTTTCTCCTACTTCCAAAATACAAATCTAGATAAAGGAGTGTCAAATTTTAGCTGCCACAAATTACACAACCTTGTATTATTGAATCATGCGTTTTGCCCATATGTTTTTACAGAAATTAACAGAGTTGCCAAGTTGTCATTGGTTAATCAAGCACTGAGAAACTCAAACAAAAGATAATCAATCATTTGAGTTAATCATTAATTTACTAATTATTTGTTATTTTATAGTTAATTATCCACTGAGAAATCGGCTGTTAGTGATTAAATGCCGTTGAATATCCACGATGTTGTTGGAATCCCGCGCAGATATATGTAGTTGGATGAAAAAATATATGGATAAACTCCCACGCTGCTGTATTATAGTTCATGAGGTAGTACCGTAGAAGGATCCCTGTTGTCTTCCGGTCAGGCGTTTGATGAAAAGGAGGGAAGATGGCAATGCGGAGATTGCCTTTATAGGTTAAACTGGAAGACAACTCCAGCCTGCCTATCGCTAACACTGGAATTTTCAAGCACGGGTGCTTTAATTCGGTGCAAGCGCAGGGATGCATTTGGGATTAAAGGATGGAGAGGGATGCATCCTTCAAGGGGGCGCAAGTCACTTGAACAAGTACTTTATACTTAAATTTAAAAAAGAAAGTACACTTAGGTCTCTTTTTATGCGGATTTGAATTTATGAGGTTTTTCAAACCATTGTTTCGCAGTAGCGATTTTGCTTTTTTGAGAGTTTTTATTACTTTTTTCAGTTTGTAAAAGACAATGCTTCTGATAAATAATTTGTCTTTGTATTCTTACACAATAATAATAATAGATTGGCGCTTACACATAAGTGGAACTTCTCCTCCAATTTGTGGTGTGCGCCTTGATGTTGTCACACAAAGGGGAGGGACTTACACTTTTACGCCGACTCCGAACGTCGATTGTATTTTTACGAGTAGCTGTTTTTCATGACAGAAATACACTCGGAGGTTTGCCATTGCCTGCTGAGTGGCGACCGCCTTTAAGAAAAAACCTTTCTTTCTAAATTTTTTTTCTTTATGTATTCTAACATAATTCATGTATTTATTGTGGTATTTTTATTTTTATTTTTATTTTTATTTTTATTTTTTTTTGGTTAAAATACAGATAAAATTTTATTTATTTCATTAATTTTCGGTTTTACATGGAATAATAAGTGTTGAAGTGAAGAAATAAATAGTTTTTTTTACTCAATAATGCCTCACTGGATTTTTTTATGCGGGTTCTTAGAATTTTTTATCTGAATTTATGCGGTTTTTGAAAATGCTAGAACGCATCCCCTTTTTTGTATGAAAGTAAAGAACTTTTTTATGTGGATGTTTTTAATGCGGCTTTCTGAGGAACGCATGTACCGCATAAAAAGAGGCTTAAGTGTACATTATTACAATTTGTTGTTTGTTTAAGCTAGGGATGGGCGGCAGAACAGCTCGCGCGCAGCAGCGCGGTCAAGCAGGTGCTTGATGCGGGTAAAAATTTAAAACCGAAAGGGTAAGCAATAGCCGTGTACGTGTATTAACCCATTTTATGCAATGTATATTGCCAAAGTCTATTATATTCATCTCTTTGTTTATAGAGAAACAATTTCTAACTATATTTGTAGTATATTTATTAAAAATAATTCAACATCATGAAATGCCGACCAATTAATTTATTTTTATTAATAAATCAATAAAGTTTAAATTGATTATACATATGTAAAAAATTGAATGTGCTAATTCATACTAGCGAGCAATACGTGTTAACGATCTTGCTTGCGCATGTGTTCGTAAATAAGAGAGCCGAGCGCTGCTACTAGGCTCAGTCTTATAGAAAGGTTGTTTTACGCATGATTGTCCTTTTTTTCCAAGCAAATTTCTAACGAAAATTTATCTGCGCAAGAACAACCCCTCCCTTTGAAAATTTGCGACCAACTGAACGCTGACAATGCAAAAGTGAATTACAAAACAGCTAATATGCGCGCAAGCAGTGTTGCCAACTTCTGAGTTTCAAAAAGCACCAAAACTTGGGGGAAAAAAGCGTTTTACCGTACGAAAAGCACTAATTTTTGTATATCAAAGGATACCTTTTTTCATAACAGTTTGTATTTAACAAAAGTAAAAAAAAAAAAATATTTATAAGTATAATTCAATACACAAAACTTTTTCTCATGCTAACGAAGTAATACCGAAGTAGGTACTGCAGATTAAAACTGGTATATTTAGAGAAAGAAAAATCGAATCGCAACAAACGAAAAAATGAATGTAGATTCTTTTAAATGCAGTGCTGCTACAGCTTTAAATATTTCAAATTATTTCATGTTCTAACTATCTATGAGAAATTTGAGTTCAGAAGAAGAGCACTAAAAAAGGCACTAGGCACTAAACAATTTGTTTTTGGCGTTTTAATTATCAAAAAGCACTAAATCTAGTGCTTAAAGCACCAAGTTGGCAACTATGCGCGCAAGCAAGTCGGTACTCACCACAAGTGTTGCCAATTCTGTTTCTGCCGTCCCGCTAGAATCCTGCTAAATCATTTAAATTCTGTAAACTCCTATGAAAAAAAAGTTTCTTTCATAATTTAGCAGTTAAACTTTATTTGCTAAAATTAGATATCATATGTTTATAAAAAACCATCAGTTTTTTAACAAAAACAAAATTGGAGCTTCGTTATATGGTTTTATAACCAGTGTTGGGATCTTGTGGCATTAAATAAAGTATAAAAATGGGTCATAAGAATGTCGAATTAAAATCTTCAAATCATGAAAAAAATATAAGAAGATACCTAAAAATATTCGAGAACTATATATTACTATTAGAATACCTTTCCCGCCATGTTCAGTGCTTATTTAGTGCATTTTATTCTGGGTTCGAAAATCTTTTTATACACATAAGTATGTACATACATATGTGTATAAATGCATTGTTTCAAATAAAATATATATCTTGATTGAATTAAAGTGAAAATTCAATTGGTTCTATAAAAGTTTAAAATCGTTATTAGTGCGTTACTATTTATTTTGATTTTTGATAAATACAACAATACTTATATCTTGCACCGATCACTAATGTAGTATGGATGCATATTAAATTTTACTGAAAAAATTTTTTTGATGTTTTGATTTGTCCCAAGTTTTGGTTCTTTTAGGAAAGTTGGCAGCTATGGGGTCTCACATTCGTGAGCACTTACATATACTTGTTCTCTCATTCCGATCACACATACAGATGCAATTCGCGCAAAATTTTCTGTTACCCCCCCCGGGCATAATTACCTCACCTCATCTACCCAACGGCTTGCACATTTGCCTGCGGTTTGCACGTTTGGGCATTTTGCCCGTATGTGCACATTATGCCCATCGCTAGTTTAAGCGAAGAATGTTTAGTTTTTAGACTAAGAATATTACTTACATACATTAGTGTACATTTCGCACAGATAGACCCAAAGTTCGATCAACTAAAAAAAAATAAAATAAAGAAGTTATATTTCCTGATCTGATTTTTGAGTTATCTCACTTTCATTTTACGTGTGCGTATATTCAGGCATGTTCTGTAAATCGCATGATTTGAAATCGGTACGATTAGCTAAATATTTATCGTTATTTCTGATGAAAAAATTGAATATTGTATATGTTATCGGCCAAACCTGATATTAGGACAAACTAGCTTTTCCTAGGCTAAACTAGTTCTACCTAGATCTAACATATCCGTACAATGGGGAAACAAGTTGGACGCAACAATATTGTGGACTGCGTACTTGGTGTTGGACCGATCAGGGTTATTTTTGTGAAGTGCGGCCGAAGCCTGCCTACGCGGAAATGTGTTCTGCCCCAAAAAAATACTGTCGCCCCTGATCTAGTCTAGCCCAAGCAAAACTAGTTTGTCCTAAGATCGGGTTTGGCCGGTAACATACTTATATAAAAACTATGACAGAAACATAAAAGCTGTTATATCAGCCGTTTGCATACCAAATTCTGAGTTATCTGATTATATAAAAATATTTCCAAAATCGTACCGATTTCAAATCATACGAATTTCAGAACATGCCTGATTGATTACGTATTACGTGTTTAAAAACGAAATTTACATCATACATACTTATATTATATTGCTTTGTGTTTTTTTTCAGGAGATTATCTTCCGTCGTCGCTGTTTTGGACAAAATTGAAAAATTGGATTATAAAAAGGATTCTCATTACGATTCACTGGCCAGTTTGTTGCGTGTCAGACCAAACTATAATAAATTAAGTGAAATGCAATACTCTACACTGGTAGTTACGGCATTTCGTCTAGCACTTTTTATAAACAGGAAAACAAGCCTTGTTGATACTTTCTACAAGAAACTCCGGATACCACAAACACATAAAATGATTTTGATTGGTGTCATACTAATGCGACTTCATTGTCATCTACTGCTGAACACGTTTGATTTTGAATATCTCATTCCCATGGTGACGGTTAGACCCAAGTATGAGACAGTTTGTGATCAAATAGCTGAATGGACAAAGCTAGTGAAACCAGTACGGCAATCAAACATTGAGAATATAAATAAATATTACAACACTGCGGAAGCTGAAGTAATTGAGCTTTCAATGCGATACTTGCAGCTTCAGCCAGAGGATAGTGAGAGATTTCCTTTTGACCTACTACCAGAAATTGAACACACTCAGTTATGTAATCCGATCGCTCGTCCGCTTTCTACTTTTAAAGACAAATTAGCAGAACTATACTTTTCTCCGAATAACGTTCAGTTCTTGATGTACGACGAGATAGCTGGTACTGCGTCCTCCGGCAGTTCACTAAGTGCCTCTATAGCGCGAATGTCGCCAGTAGAGCGACTCGAATTTGTACAAATATTTGTGCGTAATTTTCATACGCACTTCATAGATTACTTCTTGCAGATGAGCATGCGTTTTAACCAGATGCAGCAAGTTTTATCGTTACAGTGCCCTACCTTGCGTAAATTCAGACATTCATGCATTCCTAATGTGAATATTGTGTAAGACAATGCACTATTAGTGACGTTTCCCACGTTCCGGTCGCTGGTTAATTAGCACCCGGCTACCCATCATAATTTACGTTTGCAAACGAACTGTAATTTAAGTGATGCACAATTAATTTTTTGTCTAGTCAATGACATTAAAAAAGCATTTGGGATAGGGCTTTCCGGGAAGGGGTTATAAAAATAATAGAAACTCTGCGCAGGCAGTTCATCAATTTGAGAATATTATTTTTTCTTCTATAATTGAGTAAACGATGAAGGTATTTTTACAAGCTTTTATTAAGTTTCAGCTGTGTGTAATTAAATCTTGGAATCGATTTTTTAACGAACTTCCAGATGAGCTAGAGACTTGAAACCTTAAACTTAGCTCAGAACCGGATGAGAATGCTATATTAAAAGTAAATTAGTTCGCTAGGTGGTGCAGGAATCAAGATATTCGGTAAATGCATATATATGGTCCGATTTGGTTCATATTTAGAACGTATACTAAAAAGAAAAAAAAACTCCACAAAAGAATGTAGTCGCTAGGTAGTGCAGAGTGGTATTTTAATTATGTATAGTAAAGTGGCAATGTTTGGAAAAAATTTAGTTGAAATTCGATTTTTGACATCGTGTTGAGTTTGGAAAAAATCCTTCGTTTCCCTATTTTGAAATTACTTTAGCCGTGCTAGGAGCCGTTTCCACCTCTTTTATATAATCTTATATCTTGTAGTATGCCACAAACATTCAGTGATTGCGGGTAAGTTCCTTTAAACATAATAGAAATCTGGTCCAGGAATATACGGAGAGACCCTCGTACTAATACAATTGGGGTATTCACAACGGTGTCGTAAGTGTCCTATTGTTGTGTGTCGTCATCTTTAAACGCATAAAAAATATATATGGGCTGTTCGCCAGGTACCATCAATGTCATATTATGAATTTTCGCAGTGTTAAAAAAAGTTGGTTGTTGTTTCAGGATTTCTAAACATTTATTTAAGCTTTTAAAGTTTACGACATACAACAATACGACACTTACGACACTGTTGTGAATCCCTCAAATGTTTGGATACTGTTCTAACTCATGCGGAATTTAATACGAACTGATATAGTAAAAAGAAACAGCTGCACTTTCGGATGCAACAGATATTGTGGAAATTTCCAAGAAAAATTTTGTAGAAGAGATTTATGTCCATAACGATTGGCCTTTTTAAGTTTTCGGGCATAGTCCGGAGGGCTTTTTTTACCCTTCGTCGGGCGCAACTGATCTGCGAGGCACAGCCAGCACATATTTTCACTTCGCCGTGCCTTTTTATACCGTTAACTTTGCTGACGCTCAAAAGCTGCCTCTTTTGAAGTGCTCTATACAGCAAAAAAAAACTCAGTTTTTTTTTACTCCCAGAACGAGAAGTTATGCAGAATTTGATCTGAGAAGCTCATTGCGCCCAAACTCGTCAAATGTATTAAATTAGTTATTTTTTTAAATTCTATTATTCATTTAAAAGTAGCTATTATGTACATGTCTCAGAGTTGAGTCTTCATGGAATGTTTTGCATTTTTTCTAAACTATTTTACGTTGTGTGTTTTACCTTTTGATTTTTTTAACTTTATTTTAAGATTTTTGTAGTAGCTGTTAAATTTGTGTAAAATAAATGGAATTTTACGAAAATGTATACATTTATTTCTTTTCAACATCCCTAAATGCTGTGCCAGTATTCTCCAGATGTATAAACAATATAATTGTTTGTTTAGTATACATATGTTTTTAAAAGTGTTTCAGTTAGGCACATTGCGCCCAAAATTGACAGTCACCATATTGCGCCTGACGAAGGGTTTAAAAATACTATTTTGGGACCTTATTGTGCCAGTTTGGGTTATTGTTTTTTTTTAGCCATTTAGACGATAAATAGTTCAGAGTTATATTTAGGACTCCTTTTATGGGTCCGCAGCACGTTACTTTTCGTGACATTGAGTTTCGGTATACAAAATTTACAGCAAATTTTCAGAGCTCCTTCGCTTTCAAGAAAATTATTTCAGCATGCTTGTTAAGATTGCACAGTAGATTTTAGTGTACTTAGTTTGGCTCCTATGTTTAGTCTGGTTAGAAATAGTCCAGATTTCATCTCGCATACGTTACTTCGGTATTTAAACTGTATTTAAAATTGTACTTTATACGTATGCAATGCAATTGACGTTTTGGAAGTCAGTCACAGTTCTCCATATCGAGAAAAAGGTTAGATAGCTAATCGCATTTTAACTCAACGTTGGTTTCTAATGTCTAGTATTTTTCTAATAATTCTCTAATCGAATTCTAACAAAGTTCTCTGACCTGATTTTCGATTCGAGAACTACCGTTAGATTTCAAATGTATTTTACATTATACAAATATTTCTCAAAAGTTAGAGACTGTGTTTGCTGACTAGCGTTAACTTTGAATTTCCTTAAGTATTTTTTATTAACTTAGTCTTTGGGTGTATTTTAACTAATCCTGATGTTTTTAAGTAAAATTTTTTATTTCAAAATTCTAAAATATGCATGTCATCATGTCTCGAATTATACAGGCCTGCGATAGTTTTCTCCTCAAAAAATTATCAGCAATTTGGGTAGGTATTAGGTACTCAGCTACCAAAAAAAACAAAAAAATATCAATCACAAATTTTCAAAGGAAATTACTTTTTTAATTTTTTTAGTATGTACTACCGCGTAGTTATTACTAGCGTCAATTTCGAATTTCCATAAGTCTTTCAGATTTACGGCCTCTGTAGGGGCATTTTTAACTTGTATTGTTGGGCTTTTAAATAAAAAATTTAATTTTAATCTAATTTAGTTTTTGCTTTTCATGAAAATTGTTAAAAATTTTAAGAGATGGGCATTTCCATCTGGCATCTGTATGACAAAATGTTAAAAGTAAAATGAAATTAAATATTTTAAAAAGGTTTTCTAAATTTTCACCGTAGTTGAATAGTCCATTATTCAGTGAAAGAAATGGCAACTGTTTGTAGTAGAGATATAAAGATAGCATGACATTAAAAAAACATACAGAGTTTCTTAAGGTAATTTCTTATTATATTCTGATGTCTTACTTTAGCAGTAATTTAGCTACCTTTGATGCCACGAAAATTCTTTACCGTTATCTTCCCGGGGTCTTCTTCAGTTAGTTCAAAGCCGCGGGATAGCATGGGCCCTAATATGGACACTGCAGCAATCGGAAGCCGAATAACTCCTTATGCACATATAATCATTTTCTATTGAATGTACTACTGATTGCTGAAACAGTAAATAAAATTATACACGAGTACCACCTTAATCTATGGAAAATACTTATAAACCAAAGGCTATTATAGATGCATACCACAAAAAACTTAACCCTTATTTAATACAGAGAAATCGAGGAAAACATGATGCACATATAATTCTTTTGGTTTACTTAATATTTAATGTATTTTTATAAAGTGTAGCACCGTATAAATCAACATTTCAAACTTTGCACTAAAATTATAAAAACTCATCAACTTGTGGCAAAAATTTAAAACTTTATATTCAGAATCCGCAGAAAAAAATTTTGATACGCAGTTTTATAGCCCATTCAATTTTAGTATAATAAAGGACAAGTTTCGTATAAAAAAATTCTCTAACATAGTTTGTATGGGAAAATTCATTACCGCGTCAGAAAAAAACATTTTTTTAAATAAAATTTATTTTGTAGCTACTTAAAACTCGAGTTTAATTATACTAAAATTAACTATAAAACTGCGTACCAAAAAAATTCTAAAAATTCTAAATAAAAAGTTTGAAATTTTGGTGGAAATTTGTTAAATTTTAATAATTTTTTTTACAAAGTTTGAAGTCTGGATTTATATGGTGTTTATTGGATAACTAGCTAAACTATTACATGTAATATAGCCAAAACTGGTCAAAATAAGGCGAGTCTATTATTTCTGCCACCAGTGTATACATACACGAAAAGCACTTTTTAAACCACGCAACATATTTTTATAAAAGAATAACACAAAAATTTTAACTTTAAAATCTTGAAAATATTAAAAAAAAAACACCATGTACTCACATTTGCTATACACGCAAAAAAAACGAGATCAAAAGACTGAGAATATTCTCTTTCTCAAGCTAATAACTTCTAGGATGAAATCTCCAAAAACGTAAATTTTTAGTTAATTCTCAATATTACTAAACGTGTGATATGTTCCTAGATAAATATGTGAAAAATAACATAAATATTGGAAGGGAAAAACAAAGTTAAATTTCGCAAATCTGTATAATTAAGTTTCACTAGATTATGTCGAAAATCATACACTGAGCGGCGACCGGAACTTGTGAAATGTACCGTTTCAGACTAAACATAGTGTTCTAATTTGTATATAGTGTGCTTGATAATGGATCGGTTACGGGCAAAACTATGCGAGATGTAAAAAAAGGAGATGAACTCGTGGTTTCTTTTAAAGCTCATTACATGCGACATACTCGTGAGGAGAGGCAAACGTTTTTGAGACAACTCAACATTGACTGTCAGTGCAAAATTTGCCAAGTTGCTGTGGAAAACGAACCCACCGTAAGTTTTCGTTTTTTACAATTAGTTATTATAATTAATTTCTTTGTTGTGTACTTTAATACCTATATTAAACAACAAATGGTCGTCATCCCCAAAAGAATAATAAAATTTGGACAATTTCATTAATCCCACAAAAATATTTTGGCTTAATTCAACGCCATTCGTCAGCTCGGCCGCACGGACAATCACAATTCTTCATGATGGTTGGCTGGTTGCAGTGCTTCCTAGTCGCTGCCCAGTAGCCAGTTTCTGTAACTTTGCGATAAAATAACGAATGATTTGTTGTCGCAAGGCTCGTATCGAAATCGTTATGAAAAGTGTTTCTGTAACTCAAAAAATTTACCTTGCGATATGGCTGTAGTGAGTTGTTAACATATCGATGGTGGGACTGGAATGAAACGAACCATCTGTAATTTCTAGCGCAAAATTGTTTTTTTTACATTAAGTAAAAGTTTAATAAGTGAAATATTTATTATAAAGCCGTCATTTGTTTGCACATATTTTGATTAGTTAACAAGTAAGAGCTAATATACCCATGTTTATACATACATATTACATACGTACATGTATATTACGGTGATTGACTCGGTTTTTCCAAGCCGGTTTCCACATTTTTTTTTTATAGATTATTTAGGCTTTTTTTTTTTAATAATGACTTTTTGAATATCGAATAAACCGGATTTTTCCATCGAACAAACCGATTTTTTTCATTTTATACAAATCTTGACCCCTCAATAAAAATTTTGAGTTTTTCGAAGTTTTAAAGGCTTTTTACAGTTTAAGGGAAATCCCTAAAGAGTTCTAAAAGTATATCATAGTTATTTGGGGGTGAACAGTTTATCATATTTGATTCCAATAAATGAATGTTTGCCGCTTAACCGTTTTCGATGTGTTCGGCTGCGATCTACAATTCGTGCTCTGCTTCTTTATGTTGTGACACAAATGGGGAGATCTTCGCTTTTACTCCACTTCCGAAGAAGCTTTGTTATGGCAGGAGTGCCGAAGGGTATCCGCCATATGAAAAACCTTTTTTATGTTGCTAAGCCCTAGTACTCAATGCGAAAACGTAAGAAAAAATGCAAGAAAGTATGAAAACTAAGTAAAAGAAAACCGGTTATCCCGGTTTTTCTTAATTTCTCAATCGGGAAACCATTTTTTTTTTCAAATTGCAGCTTTTCGAATAACTCGAAAACCTGATTTGTAAAAAAAGGCGAATAATCGAACACCCTTATGCATATTGCGCAAAATTATCGTTTGTTACATGTTTTACGAAATTCACTTTTTGATGAAAGTTTGTTCTCCATCCCATAAGGCATCAACTGTTAAAATAATATAGTTGAAATCTCTATAGCTACCATAAAAATTAACTGTAAATTTTATCGTGTGACAATAATTTTTTTCTTGTGGGCGAAATTATCGTATGTGCAAAGAAATTATAATGGGAAGCGGATTGCTCGCATCCGTCTGCCTCTATTCGCTTCATCGTTATCAATACCTGTTATTTTATTACTTGTGATTTCTTAATCAATATATATGGTAGACAGACGGAGAAAATTAATTTGAATTAATAAGCATAAATGTAAATTAAAATTTTACCCTTACAGACAGCAGTAATGCGAATAAACCAGCCGCAAGGTCGTGGGTTCGAGTCCCACGGCCAGTATACTTTTTTTATTTCTTTTTCATTCTTTTTTTTATAAGTTCTATATTTTTTTTACGTTACTTTCAGTTAGTTGTTGTTGAATTTTTAACAAACTTCATCTCTAAAAATTAAAATTAACTAATAGTAAAATAAGAAATGTGATATAAAATAAAGCAAATGAAAATAAAATAAAGTAAAATTAAATAGATAAATAAAATGAAATAAAAAAATATAAAATAAATAATAAATCGCTCCAACCGAGTATCGAACCTGGCAGCTACAGGTTTTTAGCTCGCAACTCTCACCACTCGGCTACCGCGTACGCGAAACTCGACTGCTTCGTTTGCTTACTTGTACAAAAGACAACAACTGGCCGTTTTTAGCAGTGTTGTCATCGAAAATTCCCCGGGCCCGAGTTAATTCCCAAAAATTTCGTGCATTTTTTTGGCTGCTTATGCTCATTTTAAAGAGGAAAATGCATGAGTTAAAGCAAATTAAGGCTGGTTATATAAATAATCGAGCCCGTTTGTCTACCGTATTAGTCTAGAAACTTCATGTAACTATTTCATTCAATATTAAATATTCGATCAGTATTGAATATTCAACTTCATGTAACTATGTATTTCATTCAATATTCGCACTTTATAAATATTTACTTATCGTTAGGGTTGCCAGATTTTTTATGCGCGAAATCAGTACATTCGACTTTTTCATGCTAAAAAATCAGTACTTTTCAGTACATTTTTATTCAAAGCAAAATTATGAATGTATTATTATTATTGGGGATAGAGCACTGCGACCTTAAGATCTATTGTACCCCCTTCATGGATTATTGTGTGTCTATTAATCCAGTATCCCGAGAGAAACTTTAGTATAGAACCTAAGTCTACGGATTTCACTTCGCCTTTGGTTATCAGATGTTCACCCAGGTGCCTTTTGCGTTTATGCATCAGTGCAGGGCATTCTTCTAAGATGTGCTGTGCAGTCTCGTTTTCCATCCTGCAAAATCTGCATCGCTCATGCGAGTAAATTCCCAGTTTAGTCAGGTGATAGTTCAGCCTGCAGTGTCCTGTCAGGATTCCTGTAACAATTCTTAAGTTATTCTTTGATAAGCTCATACATTCCTTGAAGCGTTTTAGGTTATATGTTCCTAAAAGTGCTTTGGACTGCTCTAGACCTGGTAGGTTATCCCAGTAGTGATTCCTCTGAGCTTCTTCCTCTAGCCGAACTAGTTTAGAGCGTGCCCCTTTTCCCAGGCCGCAGAAAGGTTCTGGACCGGTGAAAGGAGTTGATGCACCTTTCTTCGCTAGTTTATCGGCAATCTCGTTTCCTTTAATACCAATATGTCCCGGAATTCAGAGAACCCAATCTCGATTGGTCAGACCAAGAGTATTCAGCTTGTCGAGGCACTCCATCACCAGTTTAGATGTTACCTTTTGAGATCTAAGGGCCTTGATAGCCGCTTGGCTGTCAGTCAAGATCGCGATGTTCTGATTCCGGTAGTTTCGCTGGATATTAAAGTCCGCGCATCTTTCTATGGCGTATGTTTCAGCCTGGAAAATAGACATATGTTTCCCCATATGTATCTTATCCTCGGTCAGTGAGCTATCAGTGTACCAGGTATCATGTTTGATCAGCTCGGTTCCGCCAGTCTTATTATATGTCTTACCTCTTTGTAAAGCTGAACCTCGGATACATGGTATCCCTCGGTATTGCAATTTCAGGGAACTTATTCGTAAGAAATCTAACTTCCCACGACCAAGACACCCTGCTGCCCCGATATTGGTACCAGTCATCCGTAGTAAAGCTCTTTTCGCCTGAGTCTGTATGTAAATATGAAGAGGGGTAAAATCTAAAAGAACCTCCAAGGATGCGGTTGGACAGGTTCTCATGGCTCCCGTTATGCATACGCATGCCAGCCTTTGTATCTTGGAGAGCACTTTGATTGCTCCAAGTTTTGAAGTTCTATCGGTCCAAACGATGGCTCCATAGGTTACCATGGGTCGTACTATTGTGTAGATCCATCTCAGTATCTTTGGTGTGCAGCCCCAACTCTTACCTGCCATGGACCTACACGTCATAAATGATCTTACAGCTTTCTTCGCAGTTTCTTCTACGTGTGCGTTCCAGAGTAGTTTTTGGTCTAGTATTACTCCTAGGAATTTAACCTCTTTTTGGTACATGATATTGGTTCCATCTAGCCTTATCGCTTTTAGACTATCAAGTTTGTATTTCCTTGAGAATGGTACTATAGTGGTTTTTGCTGGATTTACATTCAGCCCCACTTTGGCACACCATTTTTTGGTTACGTTCAGCCCTAGCTGGATTCTATCACACAGGGTGTTTTCGAATTTCCCCCTACATAATATTACAATGTCGTCGGCGTACCCCTGGCAGGTTAGTCCAGTATCTGTTAGCTCTTGGAGCAGTCCGTCGACGACTATATTCCATAATAGTGGAGATAACACTCCACCCTGTGGACAGCCCCTTGTTGTTCCGGCAACAACTGTATTATTCGTACAGGTTTGTATTTCTACCCTTCTGGTGCGGAGCATGCAATTAATCCAGGCTACGAGGGTATTGTTTACCCTCCTGCTAATCAAAGCACTGTTTTTGCAGCATGTGAGGTCATTGTCAAACGCCCCCTCGATGTCCAGAAAAGCGCATATAGCAGTCTCCTTATTTTCTAAGCTATCTTGAAGTGCGCATGTCAGCGCGTATAGGGCGTTTCAGTAGAGCGGCCCGCCAAATATGCATGCTGGCGCGAATTCAGTGGATAGTTCAATAAGACCGTAGTCCTTACATAGTTATCTACTACCTTTTCTAAAGCTTTTAGTACAAATGAGGTCAGGCAGATCGGCCTGAAGGATTTTGGATGAAGTGGGTCCTTCTTCCCAACCTTCGGGATGAAAACAACCTTCGCTCTTCTCCACGCATCTGGTATATAACCCAATGCTATGCTGCTTCTAATTATTTTTAATAGCGGTCCAATCACGCATTCTAAGCCCTGCTGTAGCATGTCAGGGAAAATTCCATCCGCTCCCGGTGACTTCAGTGGTTTGAAGGTATTTACCGCCCACCTGAGCCGGGGCTCGGAGCATATTTCCTTAGCCACTAACCAGTTTCCTCTGCTTAGTTTACTGCACTGCTTAGTCCGATCTGTTTCGGAATAAGATGTAGATCCTGGGAAGTGAGTATCTATGAGAAGTTTGATCTTCTCCTCCTCGCTCCCAGTGAAACTCCCATCACTCTTTCCTAGATTTGCGGACGAAATACAGTTCGGTTTTGCCATTACCTTATAGAGTCTTGTTGCCTCCGTAGTATCTTCTATGCTTTCACAGAAGTTCCTAAAGCTTAA